AAATTTTACAGTAGCCAGACAGTCTCTTCTTATGGCTATTTGGATATGGCTAAAAGTGGTGTGCGCCCACCTTTTGGGGCGTAGTCCAGACACTTAGTTCGTTCAACTAGGTTGCCTCTACAAGACGACGAAATGAAAATGACTGGAATAGCTCTCTAGTCTGATGATCCACACACAATGAAGAAAAAGAGAGGAAGAAGAACCGGGAGTGGGCAGAGAGGATCGCACCACACCTTCCGAAGATACTCGGTTTGAAAAGATGTATAACGTAAGGTGAACACCTAATAAACTTGGCTCCTTGACAATGATCGCAAGATTTTGTTGAAATTAATTAGTGTTTTAAAGAATGATTGCATAACAAAATTCACTGGAGTTTTGATAGGAAATGAAGTCTCGTTAAAACAAATCCATAAAACTTGTTATATATTTAGATTTAGAGGTTTGAGAAATGAAAAATGCAAGATTTTTTTGTGTAAGCAACTCAAAAATCTCCTCTTCAAATGCAGTAGTTTGGCCTATTTATCAGGCAAGAGAGGTGCTTAAGTGGCTTTAATTTTTGGGCTTTAATGTTGGCCACGGGAGCCATGATGAGCCTCGAATGCGGTGGGGCCAATTTTCACGAAAATCAGATCAAGGGACACGCAAAACAAGGTAATTACTGGGACATGATATGGGCGCACCCAAGACGCTTCCTGGGGCCATCTAATTTGAGCGCGGTGAAAGACAAAGCTAACCGCTGGAAAGACTTGAAAAAGCGCTTCTGGAAATTGGCCTGACGGGTCACATTTGCCGTAACTCGGATCAATTGGGATCGCGGGAGATCTCGAAAAATGCCAAATCGAAATGTCGTAAAACTCATACTAATCGGCGATAGAAAAAAATGGTCTTAACGATACCCATCAACTGAGTTATATTGTTCGGGGGCAAAATTAAGGCACTCTAATATTAAACACATCACATAGCATCAAAGCGCTCAATAAAGCTATCTGCCGTGCAGTAGAGAGCAGTTACCACGCTTAAGCTGGCTAAACGCTCAGAGAGACCATAATCACCATAAGAAACCATAAGAAACGAGCTCCTTCCTAAAAGATGCACATTTAAGACACCAATTGGGGCTCGTTAGTTAGACCTTCGTCCCTTTGAATTTCCCATGGCAAACTTGGGAGCGTGTCCTTACATCATTTGAAGAAATTAATTTATATCCATTTAGCCTATAGAATGATCCTAACCATTATATGTAATTGTAGCATCTCAATTTGCATAAATACAAAATACAAAACATAAGAATTAGGGCATGCATGGTTTGGCCACAATATTTTCAACAATCAAATTCAATTAGTTTCACTGAGTTATATTGTCGGGGCAAAATTAAGCATCTATATAAACACATCACATAGCTATCAAAGCGCTCCAAATAGCTAATCTGACCACTTAAGCGCTAAACTGAGCCATAATCAAACAAAAGAAACCATAAGGAGCTCCTTCCTCAATCCATAAGAAACCGACCATTGGGCTCGTCTAGTTAGACTTCGTCCTTTGAATTTTCCCATGGCACTTGGGAGGTGTCTTACATCATTTGAAGAAATTAATTTATATCCATAGCCTATAAATGATCCATAACCATTATATGTAATTGTACAAATCTCAATTTGCATAAAACAAAATACAAAACATAAGAATAGGGCCATGCATGGTTTGGCCAACATATTTTCACAATCAAATCAATTAGTTTCATAGCTAGTCTTTTTCACATAATTCCATCATAGTTAACATGTTCAAACCATCAATTTCACTTAATTCAATCAAATTGCATATCAAATTAAAAGGGGGTAAAAACCCTAGAATTGAAATTCTTGAAATTAAAAGAGAAAAAATGAGATTGAAAGCATTAACCTTAATTAATTAGCTCCACAAGCATCAATTATGCATTAATAATCTATTTCCCATGGATTTTTTTTCAAATTTTCTCCACCAAAATAAAAAGAGGACAAATCACAATTAAGGACTAAAATGCATGCTAACGCCCAAAATAACAGGTCCTAATCACACTTAAACCACCATCTAAATCCATATCTAAGAATCAAAATGCAAAGCTAAAGGAGATGAGAAACCCGTAGGAAAACTTACCAAAATTTAGAAATTTTTCATAGCTTAAATGTAGAAATCTTGAGAATAGGTAGTAGAAATCATTAGAATCAAATTAGTAATTTTTTGTAAAGAAAAGAAAATAATGAGAGAGAGAGAGAGAGATTCGGCCAGGGTGAGGTTAGGAGAGAGAGAAAATGTCGGTTGGTGAAGATGAGTATGCAACACCTTTAATATTAATTTAGGCCTTTCAAAATATGTAAGATCATTTAGGGACTTTTTATGAATGATATAGGGACACTTTAGTCTTTTTCCAACACCAATGATGGAGACTAAATTATGATATCATAATCCAAGGGATACAATTCATTCATTTATGACATTTTGACCTTTTTTTAAATGTCTAGTGGCATTTTGATAATTATAAGTGTAAGAATCTTTGACTAGTCAACAACTTACACATTAAGAGTTGTTAGATGCTTTAAGTTGCTAAATGAATGACCAGGATTGAATTGACTTTTTCTCATCACATGGTCATTATTGGATACTATTTAAAATTATAAAATTGTAAGCTAAACAATAAGTATTCTAGAATAAACAGTATTGTTTGCCTATACAAAGACTAAATACCCTATGTTTGTACACAAAGTTGGGTCCTAGGCCCAAGTGAAGATATATCTTCTTTTCTTTCTTTTTTGGGCTTCTGTGGCTTGGATCTGCCTACGTGGTCCTTGATAATGAGTCGACGTCAATGGATAATTTTAAATCAATTCAATATTACAAAGTAAACATAAAAAAAAACAATTGTCCGAAGGAAAAATGAATGAAACTTGACCTCCAAACTATAAAATCTTTTAAAATCAATTTAGATAGTAAAATAGTATAATATTTTTTCTTTATGTTGGCCTCCTGAACTTCTAAAAGTTTTTCTTTGGCTCTCTAATTTTAGATTCTAGCTCCAGCCCTAATTGTTCTTACTGCCCTGATTGTGGATCTATCAATAATAGATGCATAACCTAGCTTATGATACTTAAAAATGAAAGGAAACAAATTTTATTGCTGTCATGCATGATATATGATCAAACATCCAAACCAAATGATGAGAATCCTACCAAACAAAGAATTAGAGTTGCATGAATCCAACTACCAAATGAACAAAAAATTCATGTTTTACTTTTCTTAGATTCTAAACTGAGATCATGCAAACTGAAAGACAACATATATTGACCCATGCTTATAGTACCCTTATCATTGTTGAGTGAAAGTTTACTTTTTAATTTGTACTAAACAATTAGTGTTCATTTAGGAATCATATGATGATTAATTAGTAACTAATCCATTGATTAACTTTGCTAACGATAATTGCATGAAGTCAACTACCATATCAACAGGTATTATTCAATATAACTAATTTCATTTTTAGATATTGCTAGACAAAATCATGCACGTTGGATTACCAAAAAAAGGAAAAAATCATGCACGTTGGGAAGCGGTGAGTTCACATTGACATTGCTGTCACCTTCAATACTATGCTAGCACTCAAGGCATGTAGACATCTCGGAAATTGGCAATAAACCAAATGAACTTTTGGTTCTGGCAAAAAAATGCCGTTAAACTCTCAACAACCCATTAAGCTTAATAGTGAAATTGAACAGAGCACACCTTTGTAACTTATAAAAAAAGCAACCATCATGTGCATATAAGCATCAAAAAGGTTGTGATTTCAATTAAAACCAATGGCTGTGATCCAATCATACGTTATTACCTTGACACTAAACCAGAAGTGGCTCTACTTGTTACTACGTTATTTTTTTCTAACCTAATTAAAGTCAAAGGCTAAATTTAGTTGAATTTGACATGGGTTCTGATCTTTTACGACAAACCCCTTTTCTTTTCTTTTCTTTTTTTTTTTTTTGTTTTAAAAAAAAAAAGTCAAAATAATCAGATGGATATGGTTTATCTAACATGTGATTGGTCCATGTGGATCAGAAATGAAATGCCTTGAAGGATGATAGAAGTTTCAGAGTATCCATCCATCTTTCTATCGTTGCAGTGTTTTGTCAAACACAAGCATAATTGACCTCAAGGAACGCCTTCAAAAATTGCACGCATTACGATACAACAAAATTTCAAACATAAGCCCCGAAACCTACAAAGACCGGTCACCAACAAGCCAACCTACCTCTTTCTACTGCTAACCATGTATAGCCATGTTCATTGAGGGCGGTTACTTATCTTTTTCTTCTTTGGAAAAACATACTAAAGGACCCAATTTAAAAAATTATTTTAGATTAAAGAAGCATATAATCATACGGTTCGGTAAGTCCTTAGAACTAGTGATTTCGGCTCATGCAACTATTCATTTCAATCTTCTGGAATAAAGTATTTGAACTAATCTAGACATAGTTGGTTCTAGATCGATTATAATTTCAACCATTTCAACCCGTTCAATATGATTTCCTATTTTTAAGCTTTCTCTCCTTTTTTTTTAATATATCATAATCTATTGGTTTGGCTATTTTGGATTAATTTTGATTTTAAATATTAAAACAGAAGCTGGTTTGAAATTTTTCTCAATGCCGAACCAATTTTGAAATTAATCATCTTAAATTCTTTTTTTAGTTTGATTTTTTTCTAATTTCAATTCAAAACCATGGATGAATAGTATTGGAAAATATTGAAAAAAAAGTACTTACAGTAAAATTTTAATTATTTATAAAATCATTTTCATTCCGTTATACATGAAAATAAAATTGTTTTTCCACAGCACTTTTTTTCTTAATTTTCTTTCTTTATTTACCATTTCCGTACGTCATGTAAACAGGATGAAATTTGTATGCTGCAATTAATGCTAGCGGTGTGGCTAACCAAACCCAAATGCTGTGGTCAACTTCTCCTTTACACAGCCCTTTAATGACTCCTATAAATTTTCTCTTTATCCTTCGCTCTTCTTCATAACGCTCTCTCTCTCTTTATTTTACCTCTCTATCTCTCTGTGTATTAAGTCACAGTTGATATAGAAAGAAAAAGCCATGGTCCTCTATATGGTTATTCTAAAGCTAGTAGACTGGGTCTTGTACCAGCTTTTGGCGAACTCTTGTTACAGCGCAGCGAGGAAGGTAAGAAGCTATGGCTTCTTCTTGAAAAACCTATATATAAAATCATCGCAGCAACACTCTCAGTTGTTTCCTAATGTAAGCAAGTGTAATTTAGAGAATAGGGAGTCTGATACATTGGTTTGTGACATTAATGGAGCCTTGTTAAGAACAACTTCTTTCTTCCCTTATTTCATGCTAGTTGCTTTTGAAGGTGGTAGCATTTTTAGAGCATTTTTTCTGTTGATATCATGTCCCCTTTTATGGGTTTTTAATACTGAGCTTTATTTAAGAGTCGCCATCTTTATAACCTTTTGTGGGCTCAAGAAAAGAGATGTTGAGAGTGTTGGTAGGGCAGTTTTGCCTAAGTTTTATTTAGAGAATCTTCATCTTCAGGCTTATGAGGTATTAGCCTCAACTGGGTCTAGGGTTGTTATTACAAGTGTTCCTAGAGTTATGGTTGAAGGATTTCTTACCGAGTACTTGAGGGTTAATAAAGTTATGGGTACGGAGTTGCAAACTGTTGGCAATTATTTCACTGGTTTGTTGTCTAATTCTGGTTTGCTAGTAAAGCACAGAGCTTTCAAGGATTTCTTTGGAGACAAAAAGCCTGAGATAGGCCTTGGAAGTTCAAGCCCCCATGACCAACTCTTCATCTCCCCTTGCAAGGTATATAATGTGTTTTATAAACTAGTTCTGTTAAGTAACCAATTTTTCTCTTTCTTTACATTTTTTTTTTTGGCATAATTTTGTTGCAATTGGATTCGGACTCTTAAAAGTTAAGATTTTTTAGATAATATGGCTACACTACCTGCAAGTGAAAGCTCGTTACCATTCTATATTTAGGTGTTCCTTGACCTAATTATTATGTTCAATAGGACATGCAAGTTGTGGTGGACTTGTGTGGGATTATAATGATCCCTTTCATGCGCAGTAATTATATGGGGAAATAATAAAAGAATGGGAGCAGAAAAATAAAATAAAATTGGGGAACCAAAAAAAAGTTTTGGTGGGGTAGGGTGGGTCTGCATGCAAGCTCCTTCTACATTACTAATGCTTAACAATTCATTAACAATTTTATTTTTGGTTCAGTAAATTTTAGAGGGGAGAGAGACATCAAACTTTTGATCTTGTCGAGCTTTGTATATTATTAGGAGACAAAGTGATTGACAATTGATGTATCAAGGCCAATTGCATTTCAAAGAAACTGGTTTAGAATCATTTCATTTCAACACCAATGCATGGGCATGCAAAGGCTAATTAAGTGTTTTCTTTCTTGTGGGTAAATGTACCATTATTGAATTTGATATAAATGAACTCTGCAAGCATTCTCTAATCCCAAGTATTTGACATTTTATACATGCAAGGTTTCTTGGTAGTATAAATCTTCTGCTACTTCATTATGTATATATATATTTATATGAGTTTTATATTTTGAATGTGACAGGAAGGTTATTTGGTGAATAAAGAAGACAGCAAGAACAGTGAGAGCTCATCAATCATGCCAAGGGAGAAATATCCAAAGCCTCTTGTATTTCATGATGGGAGGCTAGCTTTCTTGCCCTCTCCATTAGCAACTCTCTCAATGTTTATGTGGCTTCCTCTTGGATTCATTCTTGCTATCTTTAGACTCTTTGTGGGTATTGTCCTACCTTACAAATTAGCCTTATTTTTGGGCACTTGGAGTGGTGTAGACATAAGGGTTAAAGGTTGCAGACCCCCAAGTTTAGGGCAAAAAAGGAAGGGTGTCCTCTATGTTTGCACTCATAGGACACTATTGGACCCAGTTTTTCTTAGCACTTGTTTAGGTAAGCCTTTGACTGCTGTAACATATAGCCTAAGCAAAATGTCTGAATTAATAGCACCAATTAAAACAGTTAGATTGACTAGAGAGAGGAAACAAGACGGAGAAACCATGCAAAGATTGTTAAGTGACGGTGATTTAGTAGTATGTCCTGAAGGGACCACATGTAGGGAACCATATTTATTGAGATTTAGCTCCCTATTTGCTGAGTTAGCTGATGAGATAATTCCAGTGGCTATAAATACTCATGTAACTATGTTCTATGGAACAACTGCAAGTGGGTTGAAATGCTTGGATCCAATTTTCTTTCTAATGAACCCCAAACCTTGTTACCAAATTCACATCCTTGAAAAGCTGCCAAGAGTGCTCACTTGTGCTGGAGGAAGATCTAGCTGTGAAGTGGCTAATTACATCCAAAGACAATTGGCTAATGCTTTGGGATTTCAGTGCACCAATCTTACCAGGAAAGATAAGTACTTGATGCTAGCAGGAAATGAAGGTATTGTACGAGATAAGAGAGAGAGAGTTAAACGCTAGATTAGCAAATCAGCATATGTCCATTATGTTTTTTTTTTATCCTTTTTTTAGTTTTAATATTGCATATTTATTATGTTTTGTGGGATTAATTACCTCATAATTTACATATTCTTTAGCTTGATAAGTTGATAGAGAAATTTTTTATATAGACCCGCTTCACTTGATTCATACATTAACTAATTATATAAGTCAAGTTTTTAATTTTACTAACACTAATTACTAAATGCTTCCTAAATATTGTGGGAAAAAATATGTAAGTGGTCGCACATAACGATATGTTCAAAAAACAAAGAAAAAAGGGAAAAAAAAAGATATTGTGTAATGCTTCGGAATTTTATTTTTGTATATTAAATTGAATAATTAAATTATAATATAAAAAACTAATTGAATTAAATTATTAATAAAATTAAACTTGAACTTAATTGAATCATATTAAATTAATTGTGCAATATTTCGGAATTTTATTTTCAAAAGTCTCCAATTTAAAATCAAGTCTAATGCATAATTTTCAGGCAATGTGTATATTTATATAATATTATTCTTTTGTATGACGTCTGTTGCATGTTGACTACACTCGTTATATATTATTTTTTTATCTATATAATATTAAAGCATAAGTTTTGTTTAGATTAAAATAAATATAAGTGATGAATTTGTATTAGACTTTTTCAAATAAACTACTTGCAATGCTATTTTTATGTACTTAATTTTATTTTTATACAATAGAGTGGTCTCAGAATAAAGTTTAATCTAATCCATAGACTTAATCCTTTAGTCTCTAATTTATAAATATAAAATTTTGAACTTAATAGGTGTCCAAAAAGAAAATCAAACCATCACTCAATCTTCAACCCTTGCCCTCAAACCCAAATCAATATTTATATACAACTATAATGCAACATAATAACAAATTATTTTTTTACTGCTAACTAAAAGAAAAGAAATAAGAAAATGATCTGAATTACAACTATAATGCAACATAATAACAAATTATTTTTTTACTGCTAACTAAAAGAAAAGAAATAAGAAAATGATCTGAATTGATAATGGAAATTATTTTGGTTACAACGACAATATTACTTACTTAGTGTATTAGAGAAAGGAATATAAGCACATATACACAAATTCTTGAAACTCCAAAAAGTGATCCAAAAAAAAGTGATCCAAAAAGAAATATATAGTTTTAGTTTTTTTTTCTAGTTTTCTAAACACTATTTTTTTTAAAGTCAAATAGATTTAGGATATAAGAGAAAAACATATTAAGAAAATTAAAAATACTTAATCATCAATAGTTCATCTATTTATTGCAAGGGAGATATAAATCTCTTCCTAAATTAAAATGATAGTAGTTACAAATTATTCAGTAACGAAAAAGAAAATAAAAAATTATTATTAAAAATAAAACTCCTTCGAAACTCACCTAAAAAAAAACATTTCAATGTATATAGATATATAAATATATCAATAAAATATTATATGTATTTTTAAATTAAAATTTTCAACTTTTATCATCCCAGGTTTAATTATGCAAGTTCTATTTAAAAATTTACTTTTTAAAAAATATATCCAATCAAATCTTACAAACATAAAGAAAACATATTAATAAAAATAATATACTTTTTTTCTTTTTTCTTTTTTTTCCTAAAAAAATACTATATATATTCTATTTGAAAAAATTTATTTTTTTAAAAAAATATTTCAATGTCCAATAAAATCATACACATAATAAAAAAGGGAATATTAATAAAGAATATATTTTCTTTCTTTTTTGTATCTATATCCTAAAAGAATTAAATTAATTTAATAAATAAACTATAAAAAATTTCAAATGTCTCAATCATATATATTTTATTAAAAAAATAAATTGTAGTTAAAGATTAAAACTTAAAATTTTTGGAAATGCTTTAATTATTTATATGTATTATTTAAAAATAAATATTTTTTTATATTCATCAGGAGAAATTATTTATATGTATTTATTTAAAAATAAATATTTTTTTATTCATTAGGAGACCTGATGGGCCGAAATAACACTGCAGGCTACTCAATAAGGTAGCCTTTCTCAACAAATCGGTAAAAACACTTGTGATCGAGATAACTCGAACTCGAGATGTCTCGAACTCGAAATGTCTCACTCCTCATATAAGTGAGAAGATAATCAGACCACACATGATTGTCTTAAAAAATAATTTTTATAAAGATATCTAATGAACTAATAAAATATAATTTTCTAATTGAGTATGACTAAGGTTATTTTAGAATGTCCTAAATTTCATTAAGGGTGCTATTGAAAATCTCATTATTTTCTTCTTATTCCCACTTTCATATACAATACAAATTTGCAATACAATACAAATTTGCAAATTTAATTACGCATATGAGAGGACTTGAATGGTAAAAGGTAGAAGTAAATAGTACATATGTGAGCATATATAATCTACACTCTATATAAATATGAGAATATTAAAAGCCAAAAATAATAAATGTAATATGAAAATAGGAGGGGAGTAATGGATTTCCTAAAACATCTTTAGTGAAATTTGGGAAATCTTAAAGTATTCTTAGAAATGACTGGTTCAAAAATTAATAAAATTAAAAAATATATATAATATTTAATTGTAATATTTCATTATAATTTGAAAGATTTTAATTAGAATAAAGAAAAAGAAAAAATATAAAAGAAAATAAAATTTTAAGAAAATATGTATAATATTTAAAAGATTTTAAATGGCAATTAAAAATTTTTAACTTATAATATTTGATTATAATCATAAAGATTTTAAACGGTGGGTAAAAAATTTAATTTAAAAAGATATATAATATCTTATTACAATTTAAAAGATTTTAATTAAGAGAGGGACAAGAAAAATAAAAAAATAAATAAAGCTTTATTGTTAGTGTGTGTATATATTGTGAGTGTATTTTGTAGATTATATGAGTCAGAGCTAGCTATCCCACATGAAAAAGATACAAAAGGTTACTGGAGTTTATAAACACATAGTATTATATTTTAAATAAAATAGATGGTGGGAGAATGTGAAGGGAAATTAAAATTTGACTATAAAATATTTTATAGTCAAAAGATTTGGCACTTGGACCTTGGGCCTAAAATAATTAGGTTGTTTATATATATTTTTTTAACTTTATCATTATTATTATTTATTTAATTTTAAAACATTATTTTATTAATGTTTAAATTCAAAATTAATAAATTGATTAACACAAATAAGTATTGTTTTAACAGTTACTAAATTTGAATAAAACGAAATTGCTAGTAAATTTGAATAAAACGAAATTGCTAGTAACACTTGAAAATAGTTTACCACTATTCAAGTTCCCTCATCAATGTAAAAGCATTTCTTCAACTCATACGATTACTTAATTTTTTTCTCATGTTCAAAACTGCTTTGTAAAATTCTGAAAGAATACCGCAAATAAACGCAGAACACAAAACAGTGAGGGTTTTAATTCTTTAAGGATAGTGAATACACTATCAAGCCAATTTTCTATTTTTCACAATCTGTATCTTTTATTTTCTAACATATATTTACACACACTTAAATATTTTAAATGGTGGATGAAAATTTTAATTTAAAAGATATTTAATATTTTACTTCAATTTTAAAAGATTTTAATTAAGAGAGAAATAAGATAAATAAAAAGATTTAAAAAAATAAAGTTTTAAAATCTTTAAGAGGAATCATGCATGAGATTTTGTCTATATATTGATGTGGCACTTCCTTCAAAGAGAGTCTATAATTTTTGTGTATATGCTTTTAATTTGATTAGAGAAATTTTAGATTTATGAAATTCTAATAAAAAGTTATCTCAACCTTTTCCCTTCATAATTTATTATTTCAACTTTCATCTAGAATTATCGCTTCTCTTTCTCTTCTTAAATGTGTCTTTCCTTTCCTTTCTTAAATAAGGCTAAAGAAATACCATGTTCTCTCTTTCATCTCTCTTTATAGTTCCTCTTCCAGATTGTCATTTATCATATCTCTAAAGAATGTTCAATTTAAAATCCATTTCCTCTTCTCCTTCACACGTCGTAGGATATTCGCTTCTCCTTCCCCTTATTGCGGCAAAATTGATGTTATGACGAACCAACGACAACGGCTCGACATACACACCACTAAGTCTCAGTCCAATCATCTTGCGTCGTTGCAGCTGTGTTTTTTCGTTTTTTGCCACCACGCTTCCAGGTTTGAGATTCTGCACCATTTATCATGAGAATGGGAAATCACGGAAGAAAAAAGATATTTCTTTATAACAGATGAAAGAACCAAAATGAGTTTTACATTTAATAATTAAATTTACTTTTCTATAAGATATAAATGAAAGAATCAACAGTATTAAGTCCCTTGTACTATACTTAGTAAGCATTTATAAGACTTAGGTGCTTATTAAGTATATTACGGGCGACATGCCATGTCTTGCAGTAAGGTAAGGTGTGACACCCGCCCTCTCAAACATGTGCACTAGAGAGCCGATCCTCTATACCTGGCCGACCAGTCTAATCCTCACTTGACCAGTCCTCTCCCGTATTTACTTTATACCTGGCCGACCAGTCTAATCCTCACTTGACCAGTCCTCTCCCGTATTTACTTTTTACATATTCTCTTTTCTTTTTCATACCAACAGGCGGCCACCTCATGGTTTTTCCATATCATATAACATCAGGTGCACACGAGGGTGCAGATCTCTTCATACATAGCCGATGGTATCGTAGACTACCCCTACAAACCCGTGGTGGCCCACTTCAGCCTAATTTCACACAAACAAAGCATAGCAAATTCACAGCACAAGCAGTCAAGCAATTTATTCAACGTAATGCACAACATAAAAGTATAATTATATACTAGATTAGCATAATACAAATATGATACAAGTGTATATAAGAATATAATAATAATAAATTAATAATATGAAAGGAATATTAAATTATTATATATATATAATAATATAAGGTATATGATATGCGTATGCACTATTTATTATTATTCATAGTGATAGAGGAGAAAGAAAGCTCTAGTTTGGATTAGACAGAAGACTTTATTTAAATAGAGAATTAGAAGATTTTATTTCCTAATAATCTTATCAGCAACTATTGGCTATAGCTAA